GAGGGAGGGAGGGAGGGAGGGAGGGAGGGAGGGGAAAGAGAGAAGGCAGAAGGAAGAGAAGTATTTGCTGGACTTCCTCACCTTCCTCTACTGTTCAGCCCCTTCTAACTAACTACTGAAACCCAACAGGACATCTGGAACAGGTTATCCCAGTGAGAAAGCACCCCAAACCCCCATTTCCACATGAGAAGCCATAGCCCTAAAGGTTCAACAAAAGCTGCTAGCACATGCCACTGCTTCACTGTCAAAGTAGTCAGTCTGCAACTGGATAGAAAATCCCTGTGTTTTGTACAAGGTGTTTTCTACAGAGCTGCCTGGGTTTGCACTGGGACTCAAGAACTTACCCACTCCATCCTCTGAGTTGCGATTTGAAAAGGAGCATTAACCCCTCCATTGCTAGGGGGCAGATCCCTCATCCTGCATCAGGAAGCCATGACAATGGCAAGAGCAAGGATGAAGTGGCATTCAAGGGTTGCAGGAGTACAGGAGTTGCTCTGCTGTACAGTGTATGAGACCCAGGATGGCTACTGAGGTGCTTCCTGAGTGGGAGATCTGTTGAAGCCAGCATATTTAGTCCCAGACTAGAACAGGAACTGCTCCCAGCTTTTTGGTCACCACCAGAGACTACAGCAAGTGGACAGGAGGAAGCTCCATGTGTGTGAGGGCTTTCGCAGCTTAGGGATGGCTTCTCAAATGAATGCCCCAAAGTGGGGCCAGAATACAGTGATTGAGGAAGCACAAATCCTGAGGACTTTCCAAAACTTGCCAAGGACACAGGCTGAGAGCTACTGGATAATACAGTGGGTTTTCAGGTCACTGAAAAGGACTAAACTGAGAATAAACTGCCTCCATTCTCTGCCCAACCCATCATAATGGATTGTTCATGTCAGATAATAATAGAGTTTAACATGGCCACTTCTGAGGACCCAAATACAACTCTCCATCTTGGCACACACGTGGGACAAAACTAGCTATCCCAAGACCTTGGGTTTGGTATTTAAAGCCACGTGTGGCTGCAGCAGCAACAGCAGCTCACAAGAAGGCTGAAACTCCTCCTGCTTGTGTCTGGGCTAAGCTTACCATAACTGAGTTATGCTGCTCATTTGGGAATTCTCTTAGCTACAGCTGAACTCTGTTCTCTTTTAATTTATATTATTCTGCCATCTCTTCCCTTCTCCTTTCTTGTCTTCCTCTCAACCACCTTCTTCAGTAAGCAACTGTGTTGAAATATTCCAGCCTCTCTGTTTCAGCCTCATCCAGCTCTTACATCTTTCACATGTGCTGGTTTTAACTTTCTGTGTGAATCAAAAAAGGACAGACTTGCATTTACTTTGTCTTCAGAATACGAGGATATCAGGTATGAGTCTGAGCTTTGAGTTCAGGCCTGATCCTTTCCTAGTTCTCAAACTCACCCAGCTCTGCCTGGGTGTAGCAGGTGGCATAATGTAGACAAGGAAGACTAGGATTGGGTCACTGTATGGTGGATCTAAGTTTGGATTTTTCTCTAAGTTTCAAGGTTATCCAGTTTGGCCCCAGCCCAATCATAATCATCACCCCAAGCCCAAACATTGTTCCTCCACATGTCTGGGATGGTTATTTTTTTTAGAGGTGATAAACTAACACATCATATGTGTTATCTGTCTTTTGTGATAAATGCCAAGCTGTCAAAATGAAAATGTCACATAAATCACACATGAAGTATTTACATTAAAAAAGATCAACTCATAAGAATTTTAAAAACCTTTCTGATGGTGCCATCATTTGCAGGTTAGCCAGGTATTGCCAATGTTTCCATTTCTGGAGTTGAAATAAACACAGCACATCAAAACAGAGGCATCAAACAAAACCAAAATGTATTTAACATGGTGCAACAGTCAATGCCATAAGAAATCACTGTATAAGTACGCAGAGTTACATATAATCTACACATATCAATATGACTTTACAAATTTCATATTACATGTTGATACACACAAAATGGACTTGGGAGGAAGCACTTGTTGCCAGCCCCTCTGGGGGCACTTTCTTACCTACTTGTAAGGTAGGGTGAGACAACACTGGTTTTGAGAGTGACCATATGTATTGCGATCTTATTGCGTTCTCCTGTGACTCAGAGTGGATAATAATCTCCACCAGCCATATGACAAAATGGCATGGAGCTTGCTCAGTATACAACCATCCCTTGTGGGACAGAGGTTTGGCAGGTGTGAGGTCCCTGGTGGGTCCTCAGGGTGGCCACAAGGTTCTTGGAGCAGGCCCTGGCTCTCGGAGGGGCCAGGCCAGGAGGCAGAGCCCACAGCCCAGAGTGCAGTGGCATGCTCCGTCAGGACCAGACACCTTCTGGATTTGGAGAGGCTGGCACTAATTCTGGAAGGTGCTATACCTGCTCCAAGGGAAGCCTTGCAGGAAGAGCCTGGAGCCCCAGCAGGAGTGGCCAGGGAAGTTGGCTCCCAGCTGTGCTCCCTGCCTGGGGCTGGGGTGGCACCACATCTCGCCTGGGAAGGTGAAGTGGGCTACAGACCAAAAGCCCTCCTCAGGGCACACAGAAAGCTGAAAGGTAATGTAGGCAGTCCTATAACTGCTGTAATAGACACTGTGGGTGGAAGAGCTTCCTAACAGCTCCAGACTCTCTGTGGGAGGGTTAATACCGTATTTACCTTTCCCTCTCCAGCCCCTCTCCCCTTGTCAAGCCTGTGCTGCTGCGCTCAAGTTGAAGGAATGAAACAACCACAAACCAGGCCTACTGTCCTAAAAATAGTGGCATTAACAGGGCACTAATCTACATTATGGCTCTCAACGATTGCTATCAGGGGTGGAGCTGGACAAGGTAAACTACAGTTGGAAATGCAGCAGTGTCTGCAGATCAGGCAGGGCAGGGTGAGCAAAGGGCATTTTGCTGTATCGGTGTACATCACTGTTCCTGAAAGAAAGTCCTCAGCACTTCTCAGGGGCTTCATTTATGGCTGTGCGAGCAGTCAGTGACATTTGTGCCATGAATACCTTACTTTTGCCCAATGGAAGAAAATTACACCCTGGAAGATATCCTCACTGGCAAAACCCCAGAAAAAAATGGAAAGCATAAGGGAGAGAACTGAAAAAAAAGGGAAGTTGAGGGTAAAGCGAGAGGAGAACATGAACATAGGAGAGAAGGAATGACAGAAAAAGAGGAAAAAAAAGATGTGGAAAATAAAATTTTTAAAAAAGCAGCTCATTTGGGGTTTGCAGGAGGTGACTCAGCGCCTGCAGATCTGAATTCTCCTTCTGACTTGACTCTGGCTGGCTGTGTGCCTTGTGCCTTGCTCTATCTGAGGTTCTTACCTTGCAAAGCATCCAGGAGGGCAAATGTACTGGCAAAGCACAAGCATTTAAAATCCTCCAGCAGCCACAACAATCAAATGCTGTGACTGAAACGTGAAAAAAAAGAATGAGGGGGAGATGGGAGGAGAGGCAGGGAATCAAGGAGCAGAGGAAGGGTGAGGTGTGAAAGAGAGGAATGGGGAATGAAAGACACGGGAGACCAGGTGGAGGGAGAGGAGATCTTGGAAATGAGGTTAGGTATTGGTCAGAGTCTCTAAGTCCTCTTGCAATGGCAGGGGGAAGAGCTGAAACTCATCCTGCTGACCTGCTGTAGAGACTGACACTCTCAGGCTCCTCACCGGTGTCACCTCTGCAATCCCTGTCCCAGAGCAGAGGAGCCAAGTAACCACCAAGGCCTGTCACAGAGAGGTTTCTAGGCAGGAGGAACGCCTGATGTAGAAATGCCGCCTGTCCTGCCCCTCCGGCCTGTGCACGATCAGGACAGGGAAGAATCTGGCATCGTGGTAGGTTGGGGGGTTCTCATTGACAGCCAGCTGGCTGGAGTAGGAGCAGCACTGCTCATCCTGGCAGCCCCGGTCTGCAATGCTGCTGCTGCGGCTCCTCCAGAGGCCTGTCCTGTGGGAGCCATGGACGCGGCAGAGCGAGAAGCGGCTGGTGTTGAGGGAGAGGCGGGAGTTGCCGCTGCAGCTGTGGAAAGCGTGGCGTGAGAAGATGGAGGAGGTGCTGGAGGCACGGTTGCAGCGTTCACAGCCATGGGCTGTTTGGCCGTACCGACACACCGTGTAGCTGTTGTAGGCCGGGGAGTTGGCCAGGTCCATGAGCATGGCCTCCGAGTAGCTGGGGATCAGCTGCCGGTTGGTGCAGATGTGCCACTCCAGCTCGGTGCTGTCCTGCGTGGTGTCCCGGGGCATGCGGTACCGGTACAAGGGCTCCTCCGCCATCGTGGGCGCCGTGTACTCCAGGCCCAGCAGCTTCTCCACATGGTAGTGGACATAAGCAGTCTGATACTCTATGAGTACCCTGAGCGGCCATGAGATCATAAGGACAGCTGCCACCCAGAAAGCATAATGGGACACGTACCACGGGAGGTGATCCGGGTCTCCGTAGGCCATCATAAGCTCTTTAAAATCCACGTTTTTGAGCTGCATGCCTTCCCTCACCTCCATGTAGTCATCTAGCCCCTCGATCTCTGTGAAGAAATGAGCTCTCTGAGTCAGGTAAGAGTTCTCAGACTCAATGTTGGCAAAGCTGAAGCACTTGGTGAACCTCAGCTTGGTGGCTGTATAGCTCTCCAAGCCCAGGAGCTCCTTGGAGATATCCTTGTATCCACAGTGAGAGTAGTCAAACTCAGCCTCAGCCACGTGTGTGTTGACCCTCTCATGGTAGACCTGTGTGGTGGTGTAGGCATCACCGTTGCGGTAGCGGGTCACCTGCCGGGTTCGCCGTACGAAGTGGTAGCTGATGGCCTTCCACCAGATGCATGGGGTGGCTTGCTGCATGCGGTTGATGCACTCGTACACGCTGTCCACGTCTGCCTTGTACTGCAGCTCCCTCTTGACATGGCAGTGCCAGCACTCCACCAGGTACACCACATACAGCATGGAGAGGAAGGCCAGCGGGATATAAACGTAGCCATCTGAGCATGGGCTGTCATGGTAGATCATAGACTTGCCCTTGAAGGAGCTATCGAAGCTGAGCTTGGTGACTCTGGCCAGCTGACACCAGGCTACTGCACCCAGGCAGCCATACATGAGGATGGAGAGGAGGAGGCATTTCCAGTGGGACTCTCGGCACATGCAAGCGCTCAGGGACTGTTTCACGGGGCGTTGCTTCAATCACACCGCCGTGCAAGGGGAGAGAAAGACAAAGAGAGAGCGAGGAACCCGTCAGTCACGCTGCTTTGCATAACACACACAGTGGCTGCTGCCATCAAGGCTGTGTCTGGCTTTTCTCTTGACTGTCTGAGAACTGGGACACCACCCTACTTAATATAAATGTCAATGTAAACAGAAACACCCTGCCAGGGACAGAGGCCTGTGGACAAAGCTCTTTCCTTGCTTCCTTCTGGCTCTGGGGAGGGAAGCTGTTTGTGCAGCAGTGACTCGCTGGGCCCACCCCCTGGTCAGATGGGCACCTCTGCAGGGAGCAAGATAGGTCCCCCCATCTCCTTCTCCCTGCCTGCCACCAGTATCATTTACACACCCTGCCATCTTCAGAGGCCGTGAGTGCTGAGCAGGTGAACAGCCAAAAGTGTGGGGCTGTGGAATTGCCCCTTTGCTTTGTGAGTGCCCCATGTGTTAAGTTCCCACATGCTGCTGTTGGGGAGGCTCAGGAGCAGCGCTTGTCGCAGAGCTGTGGCCCCACAGGTTGTGCCAGCACAGGAGGACCAGCACTTCACGCAGCTAAAGCTGCTGCCTGACTCAGAGCTGACTCACATCCAGCCCTGAAACCTACCAAATGATCGACACCATTTTCTTGGAGATGAGCCATCAGGAAAATGACTAGATTCAAGCACATTTAGTTGAAAAAATTGTCAAGATTACAGCACGATGCAGCATTGCTTCAGGCTGGTTACACCAGCTCTGACCTAAAATACTTGAAAGCTTCAGTGTTGGAGCTAAGGGTGTATGCGTGAATATTTAAAACAGCACACTCCCCTCTTTCTTTCAAGTCCCAAAAGTCGGGTTGGGAGCAGAGCTGGGTTCACACTCCTGTACTCCCACTTCATCCCCTGAGAGGGCACGATTGCAGTCCTTACTCCAGCCCTGGTGCAGTGAATCAGCTGCATTGTCATGCAATGTTCAGCTATAAGGAAAAATGCCAAATGGAGCCAAGCAGCTAGCGGAAACAGAGTTGTGTCCCTGCAAAGAGCAGTGGCAGCACGAGTTACACCACTGGCTGGCAGCTGTCTGTCTGTAGAGAGCGCATGAAGAAAGATCCCCACTGCCCCAGTACACAATGAGGAGGGCTGTTTGCATCCCTTTTGTTACTGCCATCCTCTGCCTCTCTCCTAACCAAGGAAATGACAGTGAGAAAGCAGATACACACTGATACTCATGCATCATCATGCCCTCTGCCGAGCCTGATTTCATGCAAAAATAGAAGCGCGCTGTTACTCCTTCTCCCAAGGGCCCATCTCTAATGCATCAAACTACTCTGTAGATGCCAACAGATGCTAGGTTCAGGAAATGAACCCTTCTTTCTCCACAGATAAGTTTCTCCCCCAGTAAAGCTTATCTTGGACCTACAGCAGTTAGGATTCAGTAAGTGATCTTGAACCAGCAAGGAATTTAAGAAGCAGCGTCTTGTAACTCAGGAAATAATAGCATGGCGCCACTGAAAAGAGGAGTTTGCTGTCTTCTCAATAAGATGGAAGCATTTGGCATCTAACTTTGCAAGGCTATAGGGTCAGATTAATACTGCTTAGCTTTTTTTTTTTTTTTTCCCTGAGAGAGAGAACCACTTCTAAGTAAACATAGAGCATTTTATGACTTGCTGTGAACACTGAAAAACTAGATTTCATGGGGTTTGGTTTTGATTTCATAGCTTTTAATTTGACACCGTGTAAGTGCAGAGTAATTTTATTGATTTTAAGTGGTTATACCAATACACACTTGGACTTAGGACAGAATCTGGCCCCTGATCCTTCCTGATGCATCCAGAAGGAATCTGTAAAAAAATTTATATTCTTGTCCCAAAACTTTTGTACATGTGTCAGAATAAAGTATAATTATCCTGGGGTGTATTTTGGCTTCTGTATTCTCTTTACAGCAGCTAAAACAGATGTAGAGAAGCTAAGTGGGTTATAAAGTACAGGGCACATAACTTTTGTAGGTAGGGCAGTGAAAAAAAAACTCAGTATAGGTAAGAATAAGGCTGTTTTTCTTAGCCTTTTGCAGGAAACTTAGAGGAAAACCACCAGGTGGCTTCAGGCAGTCCCTACATCAGCTAAAAACTAGAGAAGTTTTGGGAGTGAATGCCCTCTGTGAAGTCTAGGTGCACTCATGGAGAGCATCTCTTTAAACGCTTGCCAAATACCCACTGCTCAGCCTCAGTGTGGTTACTGCCCCAATGTAGGCTTCTGCCCCAGCTGTACCCTGGACCCCAGGTCAGAGCTCCAGCCTCTCCTGACTCATGGGAAACCCACTGGAAATTACTGACTTTTACTCTTTGTCTCTTCTTGACATGAAACTAGAGTTTTTAACTTCTATAGTAATGCAAAAAATATAAACTGTAATGAAGAACTGCAAAGATCTATCCTTTTTTTTTTTTTCTCCCCTGAAGGTTTTCTGAGGTGAAGAAAACTTTAAACACTAACATCTCTCCACTACTGAGACTGCAGAAGGAACAGCAGGACAATACCTCAACACATGAATTTTTGCTTTCGTTCAGGCTTCTGCAGGTACCTCTCATTTAAAATCGCTTAGAGTTCACACAGTGAACAGTGCCAGTGGACCCACCAAAAAATGTCCAGCAGTCAATTTTAATGTAAGGTGAGTGCTTAAGGTGTCCACAAAGCTCCAGGAACCCCATTTTTTTCTGTGACTTGTTGGCAGCACTGTCAGCCTGGCCCTGGGCACAGCCAGGCGACAAGGCTGGCCCATGCCAGTTAGGGCACTATTAGCCAAAGGCACTGCAATCCCACTTTACCTCACTTGCTTTGACTAACAGCTTCTCTGTGGTCCAACCTACAACCCACAGGCTGGCTTCTGCCCAAGGGATGGCTCAACCAGCCCTGCTGCTTAGGGCTATCACAGGCCATATCAGAGTGGGCAAATACCTCCTAATGTGCTTATCTCCACGAAATGCCATCTCCCCTTTGGGGGATGAGATAGCTCTGGTTCCACCAGTCCTAGTGCAGCACCCAGCTGGGCTGGCAGTAGCTCAGAGGTTTGCAGGTCCAAGATGACATTTCTGTAGGCATCCTCTGGAGGCACTTCAAAAATGATCTTCAGCCCACTGCACTGAAAGGGCTGGATCAGCCCAATACAGATTTTCTTCACTGTTCTCACAGCAGCCTGCAAAAAAAGGCATCGTCTCTCCTCTGCACTAGTGAAGACATGAAACCATAGAGCCCACTGCCACATCTGATTCACACACCTACCAGTCCAGTTCAGCAGGGTCTTCATGTTCAAAACCCTCTGGTAAAAAACACAAGTTCTTTCAGCTGGCTTTTCTGACCCACTGTGTCACTCCTGCTGTTGTTCCTAAGCAAAGCCCAGTCTCTGCAGGTCCTCAATTATAAAAGGATCCCTCTTCCAGGGTCTACTCCCACAACTGTCCTGCCTGTTTCAAGTTCTGACCATGTTCATCTGGCCTATAACCCCCCATTTCTCCTTCTCTTTGCTGAACTAATTACCTAACACAATTATACTATTAGAAACACTATTCGAATGTTTGTAAGAAAGACATGAAATAGAACATAACTACAATAAAGGTATCAGACATTCAAAAATATAATAAGGAAATATATATTTTCATCTCTCTCTGCCTAACAAATTCATTAATATGTTAATCCAGTGGCTCCCAGACTTTATTAATTAACATACCACCTTCTTACAAGAATTATGTTTGTGGTACTGTGTGGAATTTTCTCCTTTCCGTGCATAGTGTTTCAGATAGAAACAGGGCAGGCTTGTATTTCTGGATGAGTACAATAAATGCTTAAGGAAAGTAATAATTTCCATGATAACTTGGGATAGCCAGTGAACAGAGTTGGATCCTTTGAGGAATGCTGTGGCATCTGTGTTGTTTTGATGTGGAATAAAAGCATAACCCCTGGAAAATCTTAACAGAGAAACATAATTGAAGAAAGCAACGACATAAAGCCTGACAGAAAGCCAGAGCCAAACAAAGACTAGAATAGATGGAGGCTCAGTTGCCAGGCACTTTGTCTGCAAGCTAGGACTAAAGGGCTTGGTTCTCTAACCCAAACCAAGAGAGATCTCCTCTCTCTCCTGCTTGTGGGGGGCTTTGATCTGGGCTTTGTTTCCAGCATCGACCTGAAAAACATCCTGACAGATTAAATGAGGCACAGGTTCCCCAGAGAAGCTGTGGATGCCCCATCACTGGAAGTGTTCAAGGCCAGGTTGGACAGGCTTTGAGCAACCTGGTCTAGTGCAACATGTCCCTGCCCGTGGAAGCGGGCTGGAACGACAGGAGCTTTGAAGGTCCCTTCCAACACAAACTGTTCTGTGATTCTACAACCACGTACTGCAAAGCAGAATGTCAAATCAAATGTTTCACCCAAAAGGTCCCAACCTGCTCTGAGGACAGTACAAATTGTAAAAACCTCCTGTTATGGATGGAATGCCATGAAGCAGCACAGCTGAGCTGTCAGCACCATTGTTTATGGATTTCAGGTCGTGTTAAATACACATGTTATTAATAATATCTTGCTAGTCTCTGGCATGCTGCTGAACTGCTTTCAGAGGCCTCACTTCTCATTGCACCTGACGGGATTGGAAACTCCTGGTAACTCTCACTGAAACTATCCTTAATCACATGCCAAAATTCACCTAACTCTTCCACACTTAAAAACAGTAACCAAAAAATATTTTCTAAATTCTTTAGCAGATCTCAGCATGAATGAGGAAAATGCCATGAGTGAGAGGTGGCATGAGTAGGGAAGGCTATGGGTGTCTGTGTTGTGGACCTTGTGGAGAGTGACAAGGTTTAGGGATAGCCTGTCCTGAGCTGTCCCTGGCCCCAGGCAGATAGTCAGCTCCACAGGGCAGCTCTGCATTTGGTTTTTTTGGCTCATCATTTCCAGAAAGCTCAGAGAAAGCAAAGGACCTGTGTACCACTCTGTCAGCTCCATATGATTTGTTTGCTGTCTGGTGTTG